GGACCTGTACGAGGATTTCCACATCGTGAAGCTGCCGCTGCTGCCCCACGAGGTTCGGGGGGGGGACAAAGTCAACACCTTCAGCTGCCTCCTGCTGGACCCCTACCAACCCCCCAGCCCCAAATAACCCCCCAAAAAACACCCCAAAAAATCCAAAAATCCTCCCAAAAAAACCCCGCCCCCCCCCAAAAAAAAACCCAAAAAATCCACCCCAAAAAACCCCCAAAAAACCCCAAAAAATCCCCCCCCCATCCCGAGGGGGGAGTGGGGGAGGGGCTCAGCCCCCATTTGTGCCCCTCCCCCCACCCCAAATTTTGGGGGGGGGGGGGGGGAGGGGCAGAGGTGGGACCCCCCCCCCTCCCAGAGAGGGGGGCGAGGGGGGGGGCGTGTAAATAATAAATTTGGGAAGCAAAATGTGATTTTTGGGGTGGTTTTTTGGGGTTTTTTGGGGTTTTTTTGAGGTGGTTTTTGGGGTTTCTTTGGGGGAGTTTTTGGGTTGTTTTGGGGGATTTTTTGGGGTGGTTTTTGGGATTTTTTGAGGTTGTTTTGGGTTTTTTTGGGGTGGTTTTCTTGGTTTTTTTAGGGGGACTTCTTGGAGTGTTTTGGGGGATTTTTTGGAGTGTTTTGGGGGATTTTTCGGGGTGGTTTTGGGGGATTTTTGGGGGAGGGTTTTGAGGTAGTTTTGGGGGTTTTTGGGGTGGTTTTTGGACTGTTTTGGGGGATTTTATGGGGTTTTTTGGGGGGATTTTTTGGAGTGTTTTGGGGGATTTTTCGGGGTGGTTTTGAGGTTGTTTTGGGGAGGTTTTTTGTGGTTTATTGGGGTGGTTTTGGGGAGGTTTTCTGTGGTTTTTTGGGGTGGTTTTGGGGTTTTTTGGGGGATTTATTGGGGTTTTTTGAGTGGATTGTTTTGGGTTTTTTGGTTTTTTTTGGGGGGGGGTTTTTTGGGGGGATTTTTTGGGCGTTGTTTTGGGATTTTTTTTGGGGGAGGGGTTTTTGGTTTTTTTGTGGTTGTTTTGGGATTTTTGGGGGATTTTTGGGGACAAATCCCAGCAAACTCAGCACCCTTGGAGGAAACACCGAGTCACAGCAAACCCTTTATTCCGATCCCGTTTCACACCGAATCCCGGGATTTCGGGGTGTCCTCCTCTCCGATGTCATCCCCGCCGAGCACCGTGGCGCTCCGCCGCCGCTCCCGGTTTGGGCTGGTTTTGGGCTGGTTTTGGGCTGGTTTTGGGGTTTTTTGGGGATTTTTGGGGGGATTTTTCGGGGATTTTTGGGGGGGGGGTTTTTTTCTGCTTCGGGGTCTTTTGGGGAGGGTTCTACTGGGATTTTTGGGGGGGTTTTTTTGGGTTTTTTAGGGATTTTTT